CACCTGCAGGAGCCGAGCCCCTCCCGGCCGCATTCCCCCGCTCCCCAGCCGGGCAGGGCGCCCACCCCGCCCGGGCGGTAACAGACCGAGCCTGGGCCGGGCACAAAGCAGCCGCCCTCCCGCTGCCAGCAAGAGAGGAAACACCGCCACGACCCCGTTACCTTCCATGTGCCCAACCCCAGGATAGGCATCTTGGCCCCGGTGTTCAGCTGCACGTAGCTCGCCATGACCACACACACCAACCGAGACCACCACTCCAGCAGCTGCTGGCCCAGCGCCTTTAATAGCGGCCGAGCCCAGCCCGCCCCGCCCTGGCGCTGGAGCGGGGGATGGCGGGGCGGTGCCAGAGCTGTATCCCGGAGCGGCTGAAAGGAGGGGGGATTGTGTGCAGCGCTTCCGCAGCACTTCGATCCCTTGGTGTTACAGCTCAGCCATCCCCAGGATAGGAGTTACAGAGGGGACACGAGACGGAGGTGTCTCCCTGTACCCTTACAGCTGTTTACGGGTTGGGCAGCCTCAGGCCAAGGAAAGGCTGAGCACCCTGGGCTGGAGTAGTGTGTCCCCACCACAGGGCTGGTGGCCTGGGCTCGTCACCCTTGTCAGAGCCTTGTGACCTTGCATTCTGGTAGTGAGATGGCTAGAGAAACCTTGATATGGCTTGCCTGTGAGAGGGAGAGACCCGTGCCCAGCTCCAGGTGGGGCAAATGCTACTGCCACTTAAAAGTGAGCTGTGGCTTAGGAGTAATTTAGGATAAAGGGAGATTTAAAAATAGAGCTTTATTTTGAATGTTGGGACAGTTTCGTGTTTACTTTTTTAAAAAAAAAAGTGTTTTGAAAGTTACAGAAGAGAAACAGTGATTTTTTAATGAGTAACATAATGACCGGGTTGTCCCTCCATCTTTAGGGAGGTGCTGAGAGCATTTCAGAATAAAGTGCACGATTGTAATCATACGTGGTAGGTGGCCAGTAATCTCACATCAGAAGTTACCTTTGAAATTTTTGTAGATGAACGTATGCTGCTCTGCTGAAGAGGTCGCAATGCAGTGGAAAAAACCAGCTTGCCTGGGAGGCTTTGCTGCTTACTCACATGGGGAGAGTTTCTTCAGTTGCAAACATTTGCTCTGGGTGCCTCTCCCACAGCAGAGGCCCCTGCTCTCTACAGCTTGGTATTTTTTTGCTCCATTTAACTAAGGGCAGGCAAGATAATTGGTTTTCCTCTTTAATGTTGCTCCTGTTTTGTGTCAGTGCCATCAGCTGTCCATGGAAGGATGTGATGTGTTTTCACTGTTATATAACTTGGTGCTTATCTCTTACCATTTGGGTTTGGTTTCTCCCTGGCAGCTTCTTGTCAGAGAGGCATCTCTATTTCCTCCCTAAAAGTTTCAGGCAGAAGTTCTGTATTTTGTTTTTGCTGTTGGCTCCTGTGAGCGGGAGACTTTCTCTCCTCTCACAGCTGTAAAGCAAGTTGGCTTTCTGCTGTTTACTTGTCCCGAAAGCCCAGTGGGGCCCATCACATGGTGGCAGGGCCTTGGGGAAGAAGAAGTAGTACTGTGTGGGTCACCGGGTGATAGCCAGCCTGGTAAATCTTGCGTGCTCTGTCCTTGATAACTTGGCCAGCTGTTTCTTTACAGCGAGTGCTGCTCACAAGGAACTGCATGGGGGAGGAAGAGTATTTCTTCTTTTTTTTTTCTCCTTGATCTATGTGCAGAATTTTCCACTGAAACAGGATGCGTAGTGTCATGAGTTTTTTCAGTTTGTTTTGCTGGTTTTGCATTTAGTAACTGTAATTTCGCCACAAGTTGTGACTTTGAAGACCAGCAGTTGAAAAGAACAGGGCCCAAAATATTTGAAGTGGTTATGTCCTTGTGAAGACAGAAAGGGAAAAGAAGGTGACAGAGTCACAAGTTGTGATCATCTCTACTTGCACAGGGAAGAGCTGCAGGGATCTGCACCTTCAGGGCTACTGACAGATACAAACATAGATAAAACTGGTGTTTTGAGGGCATGCAGGTTTCAAGCTCAAATTGCTGGGAAGAGGGCTCACTGGGGGAACTTGCCAATGGGAGTGGGAATTTCTGCCTTGCTTGGATCCTTTAAAAGGGGAGATTTATCTAGCTAGGTGGGATGCTCAACCTGCGGGTGCTTGTTAAAGCAGGGAGGTGGATCTGAGGGTCTTGGCTGAAGAAGATCCTTGGTCTTGGTTGTGCTCTGAACTCAGATCAAGCTAGGAGCACATTTTGGTGGATCTCCCATCTTCTCAGAGTTGAAGCTTTTTGTGGTCGCACTGGCATTTGTCCATTAATCCCAAAAACACCCCCCAGGGCACAGCCAAGCGCTGCGGGAGCAGTTCCTGGTCAGAAAGGGAAAGTTCTGCCCTGCAGGGGAGACCTGGGCAGTGGAAAACCCCGAGCTGCCCCAAACCTAACAGAACCAGTTCTGGCCAGCTCTGAAACTGGTGCTGCTGCGAGGGTGGTAAAGCTCCAGCCATGGGAGGAGCCTGTGTGGGCCCCCAGCCTCCTGCTGTGCTGAGGCAGGAGAAGGGCAGCACCTCACCCTGAAGGGGTTGGCTGCTGAGGGGCCTGTGGCTTGGGCCACCCCTCACTGGGCAGCAGCAGCCCTGGGGATGGTGTCCTTCGTGCCCAGGAGCACTGAGACACAATGGAGTGGGAAAGGGAAGTGTCAGGCACCCAGCCCTACCTCAGAGCTGCTCTCACTGCAGGGGAGGGATTGAGATCAGCTGGATGTAATCTGTGGGGAAGTGGAGACAAGGACAGGGAGGGGATTGGTGTTCAGCTTAGAGTTGGGAAATAGGAGAAAGGCATTTAGTAAAGTTTGGTTTTCTGTGTTCCTCTATGTTTCCCCTCTCCTGTTGTCATTTATACAGTTATTCGATCACTTGATGACTCCTCCCCTCCTGGGAAGGGGAATTGGGAAAAGGAAAGGAGACCCATGAGTTGAAATAGAAACAAATCTTATAAAATAATAAAAAGCAGTATTCATAACTATTAATATAAACTACACAGAGGTATGCTCAGGCTATATAGTGGTTGTAAGCTGTGATTGTCACAACAAGCTGGGGAGTAGGCCTTGTAAGGAGGATGACAGATGAGACCCTCCTGTGACCATGACATTTATGGTATGGAATAATTCTGTTGGCCATCCTGGGGTCAGCTGCCCTGATTTTTTGCTCCCACCCAGCTTCTGCAACTGGTTAACTCAAAACTGCTAAAGACCTTGATCACTGCATACTAGAGCCAGGCAAAAACTGAACCGAAGTGTCTTACCAACTTTGTTCCCATGAAATTGAGTATTACAGTCTTTGCAGAAATGCAGCTTTCCTGAACAGAAAACTGATCCTATGACTCTATCCTAGTGAAACCAGGGCACTTCCTCAGAACTGGTGAAATTAAGTTTGTGTTAACTGGTGATAAATCAGCTTAGATTGGCCTGAGATGAGACTGTTTAGCCTGGGACAGTGGCTGCTGGATAATGCATGGGATGCGCAGCCCAGAACTGGAGTAATGAGAGGGACTCTGGAAGGAGCCATGATCCTCATCCTGGGAATACACGGTGGTGGCAATGGCGCAGCCAGTGTGTGTCCAAGGGTGAGTGCAGACAGTGTGCGAGCAGCTGGAGAAAGGAGGGACCTGGACCGCCATTGCTGGGCGGGAAGGTGACTGGGAATAGGTAGACAGGTGCTTTCTTCCAAGCCTGCAGTGGAGGCTGCCTGGTGCAGTGCTGTCTCCACATGTGGACCCAAGAGCACTGACCCAGGAGCTGTGTGCTGCTGGAATGTGGCTGTGTGCTCAGGCTTGCCATGTGCTGCTGCTCTTTGTAGTGTCCATTAACAAGTGCTCAGGGCAAAGGGGAGGCCTTTGGTCAGAAGTGAGCAGTTGATGGCACTGACTTGGCCAGGTGGAAAGCTGTGTGCCAGGCTGGCCAGGCTGCAGCTGTGGGAGCAGTGCGTAATCTTGAAGTGATCACCTCAGAGCCGGGCACCTTGGCACCTCTGGAGGAAAACTGAAGACTGATGGCAAAGTAAAAACAAAACCCTTTCAGGCAGCCTGAGCTGCAAGGTTAGGAAGACCTGTGGAGGCGGGAGTGCTGCTCCCCAGGGTGTGAGTGCTTTCTTGACAGTCCTTTGCTCAGAGTGAAATTACAGAAATGCTGAATGCTTGCAGCAACTGGAGTCCTTGCAGTAGCTGTGGTGGTGCTGGGAAGCCGGAGCAAAGGAGACGTGGCTTTTGTCCTGGGAGAGCAGAGCTGTGAGCTGTTTAGGCTCTATACTACTTGCAAGCACTGCCCTGCACAAGGGAGGAGGGCTTTGGGATCCCCTAGTGAAGGGCTATGTGGAGCAATGGCTTGATCCTGCTGATCCCACAGGAATGTGAGACATCCCCACAGAGCTGGGAAAAAGGAGGTAATTTACTGCAGTTGCTTGGACTGCTGGATTGTGTTTACAGGTGAGGGGAAAGGGACCCTGCAAAAGTGGTGATCACTCATGCTGTGGCCTGAAACCTCCAAGGTCTGAGTACAGCTACTACCCCCCCTCTGGTATCACCTGATAAGCTGGTGGGACATCAGGGAGTGACTTAAATGTATTGTACCGGAGGGAACATGCCAGAAGACAGGCAGAAGATTAGCAGCATGGCAAAGGATAATGCTGGCAGTCCAGTAGTATGGTTGATCTTGGAAAAGTTTTTAGAAGGTGTTGGAAAGTAGATGTTAAGATTGCTGCGGGTCCTGGTAGGTTTGTCTGCTGGGGAAAGGGTGGGTTTGTGATGCGTGTTATATTCACATTGATGAGATGTTAACTACACTGTCTGGTCTGCAGGGACAAGAGATGGAGTTTATAATGAATATGCATTAAGATTGGGATTATGTTGAAGGCAGATTTTATATAAGTGTGAAACAATTCTTAATATATCTTTTAGTGAGGTGAAGGATGGAATGTAAAGGACATAAATTGCCTTGGGACATCAGGGGATGGCAGTGGTGACCTGTGTGGAGACCATGAACTGCACAGTGCCATCAGAACCAATTCCAGATAGCTCTGAAACCAATGTGAACACCCTGTCTCATGCCAGAAATTTAACCCACAGTGCCCTGGCTCAGAGACTGTTGGAAACATAGGTGCATGGCTTACTTCTGAGGGGACTGCAGCTGGTGGATGAGCCATACTGGAGGCAGGAAACTCCTGAAGGCACTGCAGCCACTGGGTGACCTATGCC